GAAAACGAAGGAAATCCTGCACCATCTTGGTGAATTCCGTCAATAACTTACACATTTACATGCTTCTGCAGTGCTATGCCTTGTTAGTTTTGACGATGCTATGCAGGAAACAGGAAGTGACGTGTTGTTGACCGATCTCTGTGCTATTTGGTAAGCTTGAATCTGCTGCTACTTTTGGACCACGACTAAATCCTGCATCTTGGACAGCCACGTCAATCCCATCAAATACACTTGTCCTCGATGTGGCGTCCACACATGCTCCCTGCCATGCGTCAAGCGCCACAAGACCTGGGCTCAGTGCTCAGGCGTTCGAGACCCTACTGCCTACCGGAAGCGAGCTGATCTGGCCACACCAGCCTCTGTCGATCAAGACTTCAACTTCATCACTACTGTCGAAAGATCCCTGGCACGCGCGGACGAACTTGCGCAGGGCAAGGGCATCGATCTGGTTCCCAGTGGTGTCGTACGGAAGGGGCAAGAGGCCAGACGCAAGTTTGATGCCGAGCTCGAAGAGAGGGGAATATGTTTGATCAAGGCCCCTCAAGGGCTGTCGAGAAACAAACAAAACAAGTCACACTGGGCGGCCCACGGAAAGTGCATCATGTGGACGACGGAATGGCTATGCTACGATGGCGACAAGAGAGTTTGCAACGTGCTCGAGTCGAGGACCGTTGAGGAAGCCTTTCTAAGTGCATTTGGAAAACACGCCGTCAACCGCAAGAAACGCAAGCGAAGTGACGCTGAAACAACGTCCGTCTCAGCCCCTCAGCCTGCCGATCAATCTACTCGACCTGTCACCACCGGAGCGGTCAACGCGGGAACCCCATGTACTGGGCATGCAAAAGGAGAATCCGAATCACCTGTACACGGACTCGTCACTGATCAGAAGGCTACCGACACGACTCATGGTCCGACACGGGAAAATCCACAACGCACAGAAACTCCGCATTCGTCACATAATCTCAAGTTTTATCTTTTCAAGCCAAACACAATTTCAAAAGTGAAATGTCTGATTCCTGTTGCGCCGGAGTCGAAATTGGTTGACGTTCTCCGCAACCAGACCTTTCTGGAGTTTCCGACTTTTTATGTTCGACAAGAAGCCCCTCAGGATTTGCCTGCTCCATTTATTACCGAGGAAAGGTACAACGAACAATATGGGGCGGAAGTAACGATCAACCTGCCAACCTATTCCCCGGGGAACAAAGTAGATGAGGAAAAGCTTGCTGCTCTGGACAACATTGATGAGACGAAAGTTCTGGAGGTCCTTCAAAAGGACCTGAATGGCTGATTCTACTATGCCAGATCTATGAATTTCAAGCGAGTTTACCAGGAACAAAAGGATGTCCAGCACTCAGCCCACCACACACGGCCCACGCCTGACCATTGACGTAGCTAGCTTCGTCACTCCCCAAGAACAAGGCGACTCTGGCGACCTCATCGGCTACAGCGCCCCTCTGCAACGGATTGAGCTGGCCAATCTTCCTCTCCGTGCCCCGGGTCCGGGCTGCATCATACATGGGTTTGGTCATTCCGGTCTCGATCACACCTGGGCAGATGGCATTCACCCTTACGCCCGTTCCACTTAATTGGTAGGACATGGTCTGCGCCAACGAGATCACTGCACTTTTGCTTGCACTGTAGTCCGTGCCGCCCGCGTTCGACCGGATCCCAGCCACCGACGCAGTGCCGATGATGCTGCCTCCAGGGTACTTCTTCTCGGGACCCGTTTTCTGCATTGCGATGGCGGCATATTTGAAACAGAGGAACACACCCAGTGCATTAACCCTCATTGTGTTCATAAACGCCTCGGCCGAGATATGTTCGAAGGTATTGGGGACACCGGTAATGCCAGCATTTGCAAACATGATGTCCAGTCTGCCGTATTTCGCCAGGCATTGGTCCACCACTGCTTTGACCTGTGATTCCTCTCCGACGTCCATTTTCACGCAGTGCACCTCGCATTCGGGGTACAAGGACGCAATTTCCCGCTTGTGCATTTCCAAATACTTGTCATCATAGTCACAGATGTAGACCGCCTTCGCGCCGTTCTGGGCATATTGGTGCGCAGACGCTCGACCGATGCCGATGGGAGAGTTGCATCCTAAAGATCAAAGAGCATGAGAATTAGTTTCTTAGACACGCCTTGAGCACGTCAAGTGTTGTGTGATTTGGGCCTACCAGTCACGATGGCAACCTTTCCCTTGACTCTTGGGCCTGTTGAGCTTTCTGCGACGTGTCTGACACGAGGAATCTCTTCAAAGGTGCCCTCAGATGGTATGCCTTCCGCCAGTTGCTTGGACAGTGCCGCGAGGCGTCTCTTGGGTGCAGCCGTCATTGTCTTTTATGTCTGTGAAGACTCGAGGACCGAGGAATGGAGAGCGGATTTTCGGGGTCGCGGATGCGGTCGGCGGCGAGATGGGAGTATGGCACAGCAGGAGTTGACCTGGTTCGAGGCGCAGAGGCAGGTGTCGACTCAACTATTATTCTCCTCCTCTAGACAATGTAAAGAGTAAGCGCTTTTACCGTCGAAACTAAGCACTCAATTCCGTAGGTATGAAGTGCGGGAGACTTTAGCTGTCTGGAGGATCTCCATATCTGGGGGCGGGCCCTTAGAAGAGCCGAGGCTCATCCTCTATTCGTGGATTAGCCGTTGTGGTTAGGCGGTAAAGAGGCGGCTATGTCTCGACTCTTACCTGGAACTGGGTTTCCACCGGAAGGGCCTCTGGATGCCGGGAGGCAAGTACAGTATGAATCTTTGGAGTAACTCACATACACCGTGACACACCTAGAAGCAAAGGTACACGAAGTCTTTGCGCATCAAACGTCCCACCGTTTCACGTGACTATATTACATAAGCATTCTGTTGGAGAAAAAAATAATTTCGAAATTCATGTGCGGAGTCCAAAAATGTAGTTCTGCTGAGCCGTTACGACGCATTGCTTCAATTTTTACACGGTGAAGAAATACCCCCAAGGCCCAAGATGTCGAAAAGAAGCGCCGAGAACCAGGAAAACCTAGAGTCCCTCAAGGCAGGGCAACGGCCAGACTCGAGCGCAAACGGTGACCCCACCCTCGACTTTGAAGATGAATTCGAAGATGAATACGAGTCGGAAGACGAGATCATGGAGGCGGGGGTTGACGGGCGACCAGACGCTGAAAGAGAAGCGGAGCAGGCGCAAGATGCTATGGATGTTGACACAAAGGAGCAAACATTTATCCCGGGCCGGTCGATACTACAACCTGGAATGTCGCTGACACCGGATCCTTCCACTTACGAGATGCTTCACCTGATGTCGACGACGTGGCCGTGTCTGTCCTTTGACGTTGTACGAGATAACTTGGGAGATGACCGCAAGCAATATCCAAGAACAGTCTATGCGGTTGCGGGGACTCAGGCCGAGTCGTCACGCGCCAAAGAGAATGAATTGTACGTTTTGCGGTTGAGCAGTCTGTCCAAGATGGATCGTGGCAATCAGACGGACTCGGAGAGCGACAGCGACGATGACGGTGACGATGAGGGCTCCTCTGACCCTGTGCTTGAGTCGAGATCGATACCGCTCCCAAGCACAACCAATAGAATCAGAGCATTCCAGCCAGCGTCTGCCAATGCCGACGTGACTCAAATACCTCAGACATTGACAGCGACATCCCTAGAAAATGGTCAGGTTCTGATTCATGACGTCTCACCATATCTCCATTCTCTCTCCACACCTGGCTACACACTGCCTCCAAACGCCTCGAAGCCGCTCAGTACCCTGCGAATGCACAAAACAGAAGGCTACGCACTAGATTGGGCACCAACTTCCTCTCATCCAAACGGCCGACTTCTGTCTGGTGACAATGCTGGACAAATATTCAGCACACAACGCACCGAGGGTGGTGGCTGGGTAACCGACACCAGGGCATTTGTCGGCCACACCGACGCAGTAGAAGAGCTTCAATGGTCACCTAATGAGAAATTTGTGTTTGCATCTGCAAGCTCCGATGGCACTGTTAAGGTGTGGGATGCGCGGAGTAAGAGTCGCAAGCCAGCTGTGGACGTGAAGATCAGCAACACCGATGTCAACGTCATGTCGTGGTCGCGCCAGACTTTCCATCTACTCGCTACTGGGGCGGATGACGGCGAATGGGCGGTATGGGACTTGCGTCAGTGGAAGCCTCAGTCAGGGGCGCCACCCGGTTCGCAGGTCAAACCAAGTCCCGTCGCCAACTTTCACTTCCACAAGAAACCCATCACTTCGATAGAATGGCACCCAACGGACGACAGCGTGGTGGCTGTTGCTTGCGCCGACAACACTGCAACTCTGTGGGATCTCGCAGTCGAGCTTGATGACGAGGAATATGGTAGAGAAGCAGGCTTGGGCTTGGGCGAAGGTGCCGAAAAGGTCCCTCCGCAATTACTGTTTATTCATCATGTTGAAGACGGCAAAGAACTACACTGGCATCCACAAATGCCCGGCACGGTCATGGTCACAGGTGGAAGCGGTCTGGGAGTTTTCAAGACAATCAGCGTCTAGAAGCTGGAAGTAACCCAGCAGTTTGACTGTCACTGTTGAATCGATGAGGGATTATTGAGCGCAGCAAATTGGTCATTTTCATCGTGTTGGTTGACACTACAAGCCGGTATTCACTATGTTTCACCTGTCTCTTACATCAACGGTGTCACTTCAGTCGTCCACACAGCCAGCTTGGAGTCAACATTCCATTTCCGAACTCTACAGCTAAAGTTTCTTCCGGTTCCTGATCAACAGCTCGTATCTTTGATGACCCAGACAATATCCGGCCTGAAGGGAGCCTCAACGACACGGTCAGCAGCTCACAGTGACTGTTCCTTGCTGCTGATCTTCCTTTTTTTCAAATCTGCTTTGTCTTTTGTCACCGTCGTCGGACCATCGTACCTTGTCGTCTAGACTCTAGACGTCCTCCTGGCTGCTTTCTGGAACAGGATTCACTGCGAGCTACAACTGATCTAGCTGGAGACTCTCGATCTTGCAGAAAAAATGGATCGATTTACCCGGACCAGAGAGCACTATCTACGAGGCACGCATCGAGATTGCCCATCCGAAACGCCCTCAGCACCTTCAGTGGCGGATCTCGCCTTCGATTTCGACTTCTTGGACTCGAAACTTGACTTGAGCTTTGATGTTGGAAGCCCTGTTGTCCGGGATGATTCGAAGACGAGTTCACTGTCTCCGAGTGACACCAACGAGGGTATAGGTATGGCTCTTTCAGATGGATTGCCCTATCAACGTCGAGAGCATCTTGATCATCTTGCCACAAGGGAGGACGGACACAATTGTGGACAGCGACAGAACGAGTGTATCTCGTCTGGTCCCATAGACCCGAATGAAACGCGTATCAAGTTCTCTGGTCGGTGCGAGCGACCGGCCAAAAATCTCCCGCCTTGCTCCATCTACTCGAGGGAGTGGAGGAAGCGGGTTAGACTAACTGCAGCGCCGCGAGAGGAAACTTCTGACCACGTCTCAGCAGAACATGCAAACCCCTCCTTGAAAGAGACCTCCAGTGATACGACCAGACCCGCACCGCCGCAACAGGTTAACTGGGATGACACAGATCAAGAATCGGTACCAGTACCAGCGCCGGGTCCTAAGGACGTCCACAAGACAAACGAAGGATGGCCGTTTCCAGCTAATACTTCTCTTCCGGCGGACGGCAAGAAGCACAGAAAGCTTTTTCCTCTACTCAGAAAGTGGCTTTTGCGGCCCAAGAAGCATTCGGACAAGAAAGCCACTCTCTCCAGCGCCGACGCGGGAGTCGAAAAGGTGCCTTTAGACACAAATACTTCTTGTGCGACCTCTTTGCACGACACTCCAAATCCGCAACCATTTCCACGGATCGGTAACGCTCTTCGCAAGCGAGTAGCGCAGAAGCAGGCCGAAGCTCAAGATCAAATTTCTCTACCGCGCCGCCGAACAGGATCGCTCCGTGGAGGAGGTAATCTCAATTCCATCCAAAAAGGTCGCCAATGGGACAATGATCAGGGTGCGCACAACCGTCGCAGATGCGGCGCGGACCGCCATGAATCCTCAGGTAGTATCGCTGTTCACAATAATTTCGTCATGTTTACTGAGGACGAAGAATGCCTTGATAACATACAACCTCCTCATTTGTTCCCAAATTGGCCAGTCCGTTGTCAGCCTCGTCACCCTAGATTCCCCCGAGATCAACCTCAAAACCGGAACCAGCATGGGACTGACGGCTTTCGGCCACCTACACAAACGCGTCCAGACAATTCGCAGACGAGCACTCAGGTACAACGGAGACCTGACCACGGCACGCCAAGGCATGAAAATGACAGAAGAGGACCGAGACCAGGGCGACAAATACGGGGTTCGGTTATCCAAAGCGCTGGACGTCGCCCACAGAAACCAGGTCACGAAGCCTCCCACCCAACTCCCCCGTGCCAGGCAGATTATGCCACTCCTCGAGAACTGTCTGAAGAGTGCATCCGCTCGCCGACGTCACCCTCTCATAGCCCAAGACCTGCACATACATCGATCCCACCAAATCATCCTTGCTCTCTTCGCAGTGCCACCTCAGGACCACCTACGGAACGCATCAAAGGATCAGAGACGGTAGATGCTCCATCCCAGAACACCCCCTCCACTGGAGGCACGTGGAACGAGAACGGGAACGGGAACGCCAACGCCCAGGCCAAGACTGAGACCGAGACCGAGACAGAACGAGAAACAGAGCCTACATGGAGCTTCGGGAATCTGGGGTTGTAGCTTGAACAGACCGAGAGTGTATCATGCACATCACAGCAGGCGCTCGGGGTGACTGTGAATACTGGATGCTGGATGAAAGTGGGAGGCCTTGCAAGGGTTGAATGTGGTACCGGTACCTTGAAAACATCCAACACGACTTGGGAAGTAGGACTTTGAAGACAATCAGACAGACAGACAGACAGATAGGACACTCAGCATGGCATTGCATTGCATTGCATGTACGTATGTATGGACTTGTACATACGTCATCCTTGTCCTTTACCTCGACGGAGCACTAGGCGCACGGTCCAGCACACACACAACACACACACGCACACACACACATCGAAACATCGAAACATCGACCCGCGCATACACAGAAACGGATTCAGCCGAACCGGCCCTAAAACCCAAGTTGGAAGTCTGCGTGTAAGGACATGCTCTGGTCTCTTAGGGCCCAAACCGTTCGCTGGAGCGCGATGCACCCACAGAGCGTCATGTGTGTAGCACGACACGGCACACTCATATGCAGACCAAAATTGAACTGGGGCTATAGGTGGATGAGGGGGGCGGAGACGCTGTAATAGTGCTGCAATCGTATGATGGTCTGGCAGAGGCGGAAGTGGCTGCAAGCCGGTGGTTATAATGCGGGTTGGATTATGCTTTTTTTGGCCTTTTCTTCCTCCCTGGAGAATATTTCCAGATGTAAGGGCACGGATGGTGTGCCGTAGTGCTCCGATGGGGCACAAGTAAAAACCCCTCGGGCACTTCTTCCAACAGTCCCAAGTAGGGGACGAGGCTCAGAAAGACAGTTGCACCAAAGTAAACCACTTCGAAATCGGTGTTCAATGCCGATCGGTCAGCTGAGGAACAGGAGTATCGCGTCTCAGAGCTGACCGCCCATGTCGCAGTCGTCTCGAAAGCGCTGCTGTTCCATGTCGAGTATAACAATATAGCATTGGGTTTCTTTGTCAGGGAAATTGCCAGGCTATCCCGCTCCTCATTCAGAAGATGATGGCGAAGCAATCAAGTTCGGATGTGTAGGTAATGTAACGGACTGTCCCCTTTCTTCAGCCATCATGGTCTGTTGTAGACAGCATCATCGAACTAGTATGCTTGATATAGAAAGTGTTGCCATGAAATCAAACCAAAGTCTTGATCGATCATTCCACGACACCTGTCAAGATTATCCTCCAGAACTCGAGGTTGGTATGCCATGACCGGCCATATGCTGAAAGTCGGTCGCATTTTTCTGTTGGAGTGGCAGGATCGTCATCACGTCCGTTGTCGAAGGGCTGCGATCCGGTGTCGATTGCGTAAACACAGACCTTTGGCTTTGGTGCGCCATATCCGTAAGGAAGAGAGTAATCTCATTCCAGAGCTCCGCCACAGGGTCTGCGAATATGTAGTCCCACCACAAGTGCGTGGCCATGAGACTGGTGTAAGCATCCCAGCTAATGATATACGGCCATCGGACAATGTATTCCTGCATTTTCTGAACAAAATATCGCCGATGCGGTGTGTTTAGCGCAGCAAGACTCCCAAGTGTCAATGCCCACAGTACCAGACAGATGTATCCCTCTGTTTCGATGCGTTGGTCAATATAAGCAGTTTCTTCCGCCCGGAATATTTCAAAATTATCGATAGCAAGACGAAGCTCTCCAGCCAGCCGAGGTTTGACTCCGGTCGTGGGTGGCAGTGGAAACAGGACCAAGTCGCTGTAGATGAGACCAGACACGCGGCAAAGATTCCACAAGTAGTCAGTTTGTTGTGGATCGAGAGTTATCCTGGGCCGGAGACTCAACAGCTTGTGGTGAGTCGCATTCGCCGCATTGACGATATCGGTCAGATCCGGGGCGTTTGGGCGGCGCTCTCGGTAGTGATCAAGAGCAACCGTGATTTCACCTGCTGTCCTCAGGGCAATTGCCAGATCCATATCGATCTGGTCCAATTGCGCAAAGCCGGTGCCGATCACCATTGACATCATCGCAGCTTTATGGTCAGGTTGATACTTGGGGCCCATGAGGATGGAGGGTGTGGGAAACATCCACGGAAAAGAAGGCGGCATACCGAGCTTCGTGCTGACCATCAGGTCGGCGCTGGCATCAACATTAGCAAGAATCGAACACGAAACGGACCTATATTTGAACCGACAATTGAAGAAGCTGTACAAGCCCATACTGTTGCATTGCTTGTATCCCGCCACGTTTGATGACCAGTTCCATAAGTGCTTGGATCATAGAAGGTATAACGGTAAGTCTGGCATAGAGATGGAGATTTTGAGCAGTGGCCAAGGGTGACAGCCGATATGTTGCTGGAAACTGGGCCGGGTTGGGGTCGGTCAGGTTTCCCACCATGATCATGGCCATGATCAATGAGTCGGAGGCCGGGCCCTTGAGGTTCTGGAGCTCTTTTGTGACCAGAGCTAACCCTCGAGCTTGGTGTTTTAGTCGGAGAACCTCGACGTTGTGAGGGAAAGGCTCGTTATCGGCGCCCGCGCGCACGAGATTTGCCGCAGAAGCAACTTGCAGGTGGAACATCAATGGCCATTCTTGTCCAATACGTCTCCAGGATATTTTGACCGCCGACACATCACTGGCCGAGGCGTTGGTTATTATTTTTGGATGTATACATTCGTAGGCTTTTTGGGCCTTTTGTCAGTCGTGGTGAAGAATCAACTGGCTAAAGCTCAACTCACCATAATCAAGGATTGATTGTAGATACCGCGGTAATGCCGTATGAGGGTTCGATTCAAATGGGTCGACCTTGTCTTGCGAAAGATACGAGAGCGGATTGATCTTGAAATCGGTTATCTGAACCTTGTCTTGCTTGGACTTTGAAGTGTTATTCTCGTGAGTCCCTGAGCTCTCAACGATCCATTTGACCACGGTATGTCCGCGCTTTGCTTTTCTCCTCGAATGTGTCACTCGGGCGGCATGAGCACGTGCTCGAGACTTTTCCAACGACTTCTGGCCCGCAGCCTTCGAAGGATCTTGAAACGCCACGAAGTGAAAGGTATCCTTGTCCTTTTTCTGATCAGTCATCTCGATGGCTTTAGCAAACGCAGCAGTTTGACGATCCTTTCCGAAACAGTCAAAGAATAAGAATAGGTTGTCGAGTTACGGTAGGTTGAGGCGGTTGCTATATCTGGAACACCATATAGGGCCTAGACAAGGCACGTGTCGCTAGCGTGGGTGGCTGTCTAGCCGTGGGCTGACTCTTCCAACATTATCTGCCATTGATAGACCCGGTTCGGGGAGATTTTGAAGCGACAGAGGAAGGATTGGAAGTAGGAATACAATATCTGCTAGTAGGAGCTAGAGACAGCTGAGCATCGGCTAGTCCGAAGTTCCCGCAGAGAAACGTGGGTTGTACTCCGCGCATTCTGGGGTCGCTGTAACCCCAGTGTGCACCCACCAACCGTTATGCTGGATGCTTTTTATAAACAGAACGTGGTATGAGAAGGAATCGAATGGCGACAAGGGTCGATATAAAAGAATGAAGCCCAGGATGGTCCACACTCAGGCCGTATGAACGAACTGTTTAGTGCTTTATGAACAAGGATACGCAAGCCGCAGCCCACCCCAAGCTTAACAAATCCATTGTATAAGACGTGGAAAGTTAGTGGGTCAGAACACCTTGATGCGAAGGTCGGAGGTGTATATCTTGACTGGATTAATCATATTATTGATTGTGGTACAGCCGAAGAATGAAGCCAATGGACAAGGAACAATTCTAGGAAGTGAGGATAGAGTGTAAGTCCAACAAACTGGATCCAACATCAAGATGGCTTGCACAATAGTAGTAGGGAAGGACACAACGTGCGCCTCTCTGCGAGCCGTAGCCACAGCTTCTACCACCATAGTTCATTTGGCATAACAGCCACAGCCACGGGTCACAATATGGTATTTCCCCGACCAAGAAACTAGATATATATTGCTTTGCCTCGGAACTGAAGGTCGAGCGGTGATACATACCTTTTCTGGGATGAGGCCCGTTGGAAGCTAGTCTAGGGGAATGTGATGGGCCAGGGTCGGCCTCTTCTAGCATGGCACCAGTTAAAGTGTGCTGTACCGAGGCTTGACGGAGGATTCACAAGAGCGTTTGCTAATCTCCAGTTGCGGCAAGAGAGTGAACAGAGCAGGATTGGACCTGACGAGACATGGGACGAGGATGCGAAGGAATCAAAACCAGAGAAACAGGATCGAATGAAGGCGGAAAGTGAAATCTCGCTCTTATACGACATGGCTATGCACTAACCTATATTATAGTAGTGCATTCTCTGTATTGACGTCCCTCGGAATATGATTGGCCGACGCCTCGCCTCGTCTCATTTCATTCCTGCTCCGCCATTCGATGTTTTCGCGAACGCGTCTCCCTCAACTTCAGGAAACGCTTCGCATCTGGAGCAATTTATTTACAGTTATTTGTCCTTGTACTTATTGCTCCGGTTGGTCAGGACACCGTCGTCCATCACACTCTCTGCGTCCGGCTGATTTACTCCATGCGGAAATGGCTGGCCGATCCAGGCTCCCAACCTTGGTCAATTTGTCCAAACGTGGCAGGCCGAATTCCTTATTTCTACTCGGTCCTTGTTCTTCAAGATTACATTTCCTTCCTCGGTCGTTCGCCCGCAGCTTAAGCATTGAGTACCTGCATTAGCTTCATGCTCGATGCGCAAGCTTCGTGGGGAAGATGCTGGGTCTACGAGTGGTAACTGTGACCTGCATTGCCGTCCCAATGGCGAAATGTTTCTGGGTATCCGATACTTTAGATGAAGCGTCAGCCGCCGGCCTCGTCTCAGTTCAACGGTCATGTCTCTCAGCAACGTGAGGCTTTACTTTCCCGGTCATATTTCGTTTCTTTCATTGC